CTCTGCTGCTTGAACAAAAACATGAAAAGTACTGAAGGACGTCTCATCGGAGCAACTTCAAATGTCTGTCAACTTATTTATAATTATAAGAATAAGAACAAACATTTTAAACTTTAACAGTTAAATATTCAGTCTGCAGTTCAACATCAGAAGTTCAAGTTGAATCAAATGATTTCTGAAAAGCTCCTGAACAAGAATCATGAACAAATCAAACACAAGTTAGTTTATAAAATGTTTAACTTTTGTTCATAATTAGAATTAAGTTCATAAAACACAAAAACTAAGTTTAAATAACACTGAAAACCTCGTTAGCTTCATGACTAACCAGCTTATAAATATGTGTTTATGTTAGCAATCAACAAATAATTAAAGATACCCTCATTAGCAGAAGAAACGCTGATGGAAAGTCTCACTAAGAGCTGTCTAAACCCAACAAGACTGATTCAAACCGGTCGGTTCTGTTGCTGAGCCCGGTGATTACAATCAGAACCGAGTCAAACTGCCTCCACTTCACAACTATCTCAGCGATTTGCAGAAACTTTCCATCCGACAGAGATCCAGATAAAGATGTTTCTGTAGGTTCAGTTGCCATGTGATCCTCACACAGTATAAACAAAAGCCCGGTCCGAGAGGAGCTCCTCCATCACACAGTCTAATACCTGAAAGATGATATAAGCTGACATCCAGGTCAGCCGCTGATCACATCGTTCCCTCCGTTACAGCGAAACAGAAAAGACACACCACATGGAATAATATCATAATTGCTCCGGCTCAGGAAAATTGCCCTCAGAAATCTAAATCCATAATCCTCAAGCCGGACTTAAAACGCTGTGCTTTAAAATGTTTTTCTTTTTTTCCAGAGTGATTGCAGGAGTCTCTATGGAGACCGGCTGCAATGAGAGATGAGGACCAAACCCCGTTAAACACTACATCATCTGAGAAGATCCCAGCGGACCAATCACGGTGCAGATCTGGAGACATGAAAACTTATCCAAGAGCCACATTTTAATTGGCTGATTTAGCAACAGATGCACTCAGAGGTGCTCATGGAGGACGTCTGCTGCAGAGCTGAACATCCAGACGATAGGAGGCTAGCATTACGCTGCTGTTTATAAATGATGAGAGCTGCTGGCAGCTTGAGGTTCTGTCTGTGCAGACCGGCAGAGAGCAGCAGCAGTTAGTGACAAACGTTTCTACAACTGATCTACAACCCGTCGTCTCCTCTGGCTCGGCCTTGGACCTCCAGCCTGTGTCGTGTGTTTCTACCTGCTCTGGTCGTGCAGTTTGCTCCTTTTGTTGGTTTGAACCAATAATTTATTTTTGATACTGATAATTTTTTCCTGGATGTTTGACTGTGAACGTGCAGAAACCTTCAGACTGACGCCTGAGGTCCACATCGGTGCTTCTCATCCTGCTTATAGACGGAAACAAGAAGTTTTTTTGAACGTTTGTATGAATATTTGTCATAATTCTGACTAACAGCAGGTTTTGAGGTGACAGCGCCTCATTCAGACCGTCCTCCAGCACAGCGATGTGTTCGACCGTCTGGTCGTCGTTCTGCTTCGGGGGAAACTCAAAGCTCTTCCATGTTTGTGTTTCAACAAAACAGTGACGAGGTTTTGCTTTGGTGGAACGTTTACAGGCAGGAAGGCAGAACTGTGACTAAACTCATGTCTAAGCTTCAGTGTGAGCTCCTCTGGTTGGTCGGCGTGTCTTTACCTGTTCTTGTCGTGCAGTTTGCTGATTTCGTTGGTTTGAACCATTAATTCTTTCTCCAACTTGTTGGTGGACAGAGAATTTTCAAGCAGCTGGATCTCGAGTCTGGACGTTTGATTCAGAACCTGCCACAAAACAAACGCACACATAGAGAAGATCAACACATAATGGATGAGTTCACGCTCTGAACGTTCTCAGGAGTTCACATCATGCACCGAACCTTAACAAGGAACCATAAACAGGATGTATTTAAAGCTTTGTAGAAACTTGAGGAAAGAAAACGTTCTGAACATTCGAGCTGCAAATAGAACCGTGACTTTGTTTTCACGTTGTCAGGATGGAAACTCTCCTCTCTGGTATGATCCTTTATTTAAACCTCTGACAACAGTTCCTCTTTTTAGTGCAAAAACTAACTTCACAGCTCTCCATCACCTCCTCCTCAACCTCCACATAAACCTCCAGCCAAACAAATCAAAGGCACTGATTTAGCATCACTGTGGTCTTTGGAAAGTCCTCGGTAGTGTTTCTGGAGCACCGAGCAGATCCACTGGGTTTTAGTGGGGTCTGTATAGAACACATCTACAGGTGTGTCTCTGGCTTCACCTGCGTCTCCACGTCGGTCAGCTTCCGTGTCTGTTCGGCCGTCTGAGAGAGAAGGTTGGTTCCCATTTCCAACATGGCGGCCGTGTGGTTGTGGACGGCGCTCTGCTGCAGCTGAGCCATCTCCGTCTTCATGCTCTCCTTGATGTAGTTCTCGATCTGCACCAAACACAGAAACTGGTTGAGGGAACTTGGCACACATTTAGTTTTTAATTTTTATTGAACTTTTAAACCAGAAATCTCCTTCAGAAAAAAAAGAAAAAAATCTCCTCTTTGTGGGAGATCTGGCCAAGAAGGAACCTCATCATAACGCTAGAAAACATGATTGAATCAAGCATGACAACAGCTCACGTAGGACAAAAGTAAAGCACCTCAGAACAAGCAGAGGATCCAAGACACACAAAACTAATTCAAGCTTAGAAGAAAGATGTTCCTGCAGGACTGCTTTGTCAATAAAAGTCAAACAGTGCAGCTGTCTCGTTAACAAAGGTCCAGAAACCACATTATGACAATGCACATGTATGGTTGAGTTGTATATAGAGCATGAGCAGTGTTTCCATATAGAAACCTCTCCACAGTCCAGAACACTTCACAAACCAATCACGAGTGCTTCCTCACTGCTGAACTAAAGCAGGCCCTATGTAATAACAAAAACCAGCCTCACCTTCAGATTTGAGCCGGTTATCCACCCAGATGCCCAAGTTCTCGCAGGAAGACACTTTTTCAATTAAGTCTCCTTCTAAAGTCTGAATCCTATCAGCATGTGAGATCTGAGACAGAGCCTGTAAAAGATCATAAATTTGGTTTCTCTTGGCATTCAGAACCAGCCTTAAATCTTGCAATGAGGTCTGCAGCTGTGAAAAAACCAGCCTGGAGCTCATAAACCGTTTGGCTCAGAGAAGAAGCAGCTAAATAGACAATTGTGTCATCTGCATACAAACTCACTTCTGCTGTTGGCTGTGAAGTGGTAACACAAGACGTCTGTACTGGAGGTTTACACTCACCATCGCTGACATACCTTCAGAACTTTGCACGTGTTCTTTAGTTTACTTGCAGATTTACAACATTACATAACCGTACGACAGCAGATCTCATTTATTCATTTACAACTGACACCAGGCAGAAAACTAGTGTCCCGCTGAAGTCCCCAGTGGTTCTCTTGGGTTTTATACATTCATGGTCAGACTAAGTTTTACCTTTTTCATGCCTCGCAAAAGATCCGAGATCAGCAAATACATTATTTTAAGCGAACATCCGTCAAAAACCACAGCATTAAAATGACTTTATTACACATTTAAACAGAACCAAACACTGTCCTGAATCCTGGGGCCTGTGCTGTTTAATCTTTATCCCGTCTCCTCTGTATCTGGGGGTTATATACACCTTTATGCCGACGACACCACGCTGTACCTCTTCAGGTACTGTCAGCTATAAGTTGCACTCAAAAGACATGAATTTCTTCTGAATGCAGATCAAACTCAACACAACCTTCGGGTCATTAGGACGGATGAGAGGCTGACTTTAAACATCGTGTCTCCACCCTGGTGACTGAACTACAATAAAAATGCTTTTTACAGGACTAATCAGGTTTTGTGTTGCGTTACTTCCAGCTGTTCTTGTTTTAGTTGATTCATTGTTTTTAAAACATTAGTTCTCTCGCTAACATTTTTATCATTTAACTAACTCTTGTTTATTTTGATGCACATGTTTCCTATTTATGTGCCTACTTTTACTGGCCTTTTAATAGTTCATTGTTATTAAAGTTTCCTATTTGTGCGGCTCCATGTTTTACTTTCCTGCTCGACTGTAAATGAGGCCTTCAGACCGCAACAGTTTCTAAAAAGCCTGAATGAATGAATCTCTGTTTAAATCGTCACACACTTCACCTCATGAACGTCTGAAACGAACACGAACACGTCTTCCATCGTTTGAGTGGCACTCGAGTGCAGAAGGAGTTTGGAGAACATGGGCAGAGCAGATGTGGGCGGTTAGTTTGGATTGAAGAGATGAACAGATATTCAGTGAAGCTTGTCTGCAAAGGACTCTTTCATCCTTATCTCCAAACCCGTCGACGCTCCGAAGCCCAGCGAGTGACCAGCTGCAGATAAAGGTTCAGCTTGGATGGAGGAACTGTATGGACCATCTGTGTTCAGAGCTTCAGGCCTTAGAACATGTTCAGAAGTCAGCCTCCCAGCTCTAGATCTGCCTCCTTGCTCCTACGTTGCTGGTGCAGCGGATTACATCATTTTGTGGCCTCTGTTGTTGACTTATTAGATAAAAGAGGATTTGTCTGTGTGTGCTTATCGACCGGCTTTGGTTCGACAAACAAACCCGACTTGATTGGATTTTAAGTATCTGGTTGTTGATCTGGCTGCTGCAGTCTGAACACACGCTGGGATGATTCAATAATCAGCCGGAGGGGAGATTCTCAAACACTTGATGTGTAAAAGATGTTTTGTGGGTTCTGCTTTGGCTGACTGATGTGCTGTAAAAGCATCTTCTAGGAACTCAGCAGCCAAGACAAATCAGTGTCACATGTGTCCTCTGTGGCAGTTTCCATTCATCCTGCAGCTGTGGCTCCACTGCATCCACTGCTCTGCTGGTGAGGAGATGTTCTGGATGTGCTTCAGATTGGCTTGTTTTGTACTTAATGCATGTCTTCTGGTATACAGTATAATAGAGATACAGATTATGGAGTATAACTTCCTTTTAGAGCTCAGAGGGGGCTCAGGGTTATGAGGACGGACGCTTTAGTTACAGATTGTTGTGGAGACCAGTGAGCTGAACAGTTTTCTTTATGATCTCTACCTCCTTGTTATCTACAGTCATCCTCAGATGTGTTCACAGCCTCCCACTGAAGACGGAAACAAACAGCTTCAGTCACTGAATCAGCTGAAACTGACAAAAGTATTAATTAATAAAAAGTTAATGAACATCATGACGCTGCTTCTGAATTGTGGTTCAACAGAAATATAAAAACAACAGTCACACCAGCATGATGGGACCCATAAGCTAACATGTAGCTGAACAACCCTCTGAGCCAATCACTGCCATCAGGTGTTTCCTGTGGCTCTCAGTCAGACTTGTGCACCTGTTGACAGGTGTTCTGGACCACTGCTCATCAGCAAAGGCCTCTCATTGGTCCACTGCTCATCAGCAAAGGCCTCTCATTGGTCCACTGCTCATCAGCAAAGGCCTCTCATTGGTCCACCACAGTTTTGTTTTTTTTAATTGCTCTTTTCAACCACAATTCAAAACCAACGTGTTATTTAGGGTTAGAATAACTCAGCAGCGAGTCTGAGTCTTACAGGAATGTGTTCAGAAACATGAACGGACAGAAATCATTGATTCAAACGAGGAGCGTGGGATTCATTCAGCAGTAACTTCATTAATACAGGATCTGATGGTAAATAATGTACAAGCTCCAGGTTTATTCTGTGGAATTATTCATATTAAAGCCTCTAAAGCCTCCAGAATAGTCCAGCATGCTCCACTGCAAACTGGTGAGACCTCCACTAAAGGGTTAGGGTTAGGCTGAAGGCTCTGTGACTTCACATAAGACCAGAGAGCAGCTTCATCTTGTTCTGCAGCGTTTTCTCAACCAATTAATCTGCATGTCTGATGGTTAGACTGAATGTGACCAACACACAGCAGTGGTCTGAGCAGCTCCGTACCAACTAAACTCTGTCTAATGATGGATTGTAAAGGAGTCGGCTGACGACGTGTCAGCGCACACAGACAGACCAGGTACACCTCACACAGCACATGTATGTACTGGTGGCGTGTTGTGGCCAGAAGGCTTCTAAAGCAAACAGTAAAGTCATCCTGTGTGTCTGTTGGCACAACAAAGTCCTGATAATATTTATGCTGCGCGCATGTTTCCAGTAAAATATTCATTCTCGGTAAAAGCTTTTTAATAAAGAGCGGACGAATTACAACATTTCAATCAACTGAAGCCTGGAAGATAATAAAAGAGAAACAGAGGTGGATCTTTGCTTGTCAACAGAACCAGCCAGTTCTCAGCCTCCTGCACACGTCTGCCAAGTCGAATTAGCCTCTCAGTCTAATATCCTTTCTTGGCACCGGCGCAAAAGTCAAATATAACATTTTTTCAGGCCGGATTTCAGACATAATACAGCTTCCCCTAACTGTGAACTACATAAGGCTGATATAAGTGTCACTTTCCATATAACCTCCAATGGTCTGGCCTCAGGAATTGGAAAGAAAACAGGGAGTCTGGAATTCACAAAGCTCAAGTAATGATGGATTACTGCGGCTGATAATGAACCGTGGAGTATGACTGTGTTTGGAAATGGCGGTGGGACTATCTAGAAATGTAAAATCTCTTAACTACGCGCTTGTTTTTGCATCCTTGTAGGTCTGGGTTAAAAACTGCAGTTTAAAAAGCTGCAGCAGAAACGGTGGGACGGTGGAAGTCACCTTGAGCAGAAGGTCTGGACGGACGTCTGACGGCTTCACCTCTGAGGGAATGTGACTGACTCATGGCTGGATCTGGTGGAGTCATAAACGGAAAGTACCAAGGAGAAACAAGATCACACAAACACGCCCAATCACGTAAAATCACCGCTCGGGAAGCCGTAAAATAGGTCTACGTGGGTGTTGGGTTATTTAGACGCTTTCTAACCTCGACTCCACTTAAACGCTGAGCTGTTCCAGTCAGAGGATATCAATCCAAACGGCTGCTGGCAGCGAGTCCGACCGAGCTGAGATGCAAATTTGTGTCAGTCAGGAAAGAGGTTTGGACGGTGAAATAAATATGAGCGCATAATGAGAATGCAAAGGTTATGGAGATTTATTTTCTGCTAAGACGTGACGTTCTGATGCCAGTGGCTGATTTGCTCCAGAACATAAGGTAACTTGGCCATTTGTTATTGAACCAGAAACTGGAACCAGTTCGTTCACTTTGCTGTTTTCTGTGCATTCTCATTAAAAAAAACAAGTTACTTCTTCTCCTCGGAGAAGACAAACTGGTTTCAGACCAGTGGACTTTGTTTAAAAGCTCAACGTTTGATAAGCTTCAGTCTGAATTTGACCGACTGACCGCTGACCAGATAAAACGGATCCACTGCTGAATGAGCAGCCAGAACCAGCCGTCCAACCAAAAGAAGATGCCCCCATTAAAAACAACGTATGTTTTC